GGGGGGGGGGGGGGGGGGGGGGTGTAGGCCAAAAATTTCCGAATGACGAAAAACATGTCCGAATATTTCATGCCGTACGAAGCCACGAAGGTGTTTGCTATCCGGAAATGAAGACGCAAAATACGCATATTCTGCGCACAGACATATTACAGTAGCTGAGTAGTATGCAGTGCCGTAGGAAGCTCTTTTTGATTAGGGGGCTGAGAACGAGGGCCGAAGGCCCGAGGAAATTTTTAAATTTAGAGTCTCTGAAATGCCATTTCCTGGACTTTGGGGGAAGTTTTGACAGAATTCTGATGGTCAGAAAACAGCGTTTTAGTATGTCGAAATTTACAATTTGTTTGCAATTTAGAAGAACTAAATGGGCGAAGGCGTTTTAATTAACTATATATTGGGGAAGTTGCAGGAAAGTATGGGTAATATGATTCTTTGCAGTTTGTCATGGATAATATAGCCGCTTAAAATTAATCAATTGTCAGTATTTTAAAGGTATATTATTTAAATGATAAAGGTATGCATGATTTTGAAAAAAGAATGACTATTAGCAAATTATTGGAGGGCTGTATCCCCCCAGTCCCCCACCCCCGCGGTTGCTACGGGCCTGAGATGTAATAAACCGAAAAATATTTACCGATTTACGATATTTTAAATGTTTTAAATATCCATGTAAATGCCATGATTTCGTAAATCAGTTTATACTGACAATACAATTATATTTTCTCTGTTTAACAACTAAAATTTTGTTATACTATTATTGCCGTCATTTTCCGAATGGCCAACCCGATTTTCCGAATACGTTAATTCTAAAAAAAGTTGGGGTAACCCCACCCCCGCTACGGCCCTGGTCTTGTCTCTCCCGTCTTGTCCTGTCTTGTCCTGTCCTGTCCTGTCCTGTCCTGTCCTGTCTTGCCTTGTCTTGTCTTGTCCTGTCTGTAAAATATTTTATTGCCTCCATTCCTGAAGAGTTACAAAATATTTAAATACTAATTATATAGATAAAATATAAGAAAGTTGTCTTTAAGCTAATTTACATATCAGTTGCAACGTCGGCTACAGCCAATGAAAACCTCTCACCCAAAGGGTTCAAAGATTGAATTTTGCATGCAAAAAGAAATGTACTCTGCGCATCGTAACCAAAAGTCAGTGTTCAGACTGTCCATGCATGATTGTAGCTAAGTTCGTCGGCTTACCACCAGTAATTAACTGAACAAATTGGTCATCGTCCAAGAAATTGAGAAGTACTTCTCATATCTCCAGACAAGTTATCTGTGGTCCACGTCCACCAATACTCTCTCTGGTTTGCAGTGTTCATACAATATAGAAGAGCATGATGTACAGGATTGATCACACACCTTTGACAGAAGGAACAATGAAACGAATGCAAACAATTATAGTTCTCAATTCTGATACCATCGATTTTAAGAGAGCCACAAACCAGACGAATCACATCGACTACGATATTTGAATTCATTGGAGCAAAATCCCAGATTTCATACCAAAAACTAATGTTTAAATGTTGATGTGCTTGCATATACAGCTTTAAAATCGGTTTTTGGTTTAGTTTTTCAGACCAAACCAACTGCTCTTTTCTTCGCACAGCTTCATTTACAATCCTCTTCCATTGCTTTTTCGTCGGAAAACTCTCTGATTTTATAAAGTCCGTCACGAACGTCATAAGGCCATACTTTTCCAAAATTCTAATGAGATCGGGAATAAATCCATCTACAGCGTCACATTTCCACTTCCATTGTATTAATCGACGTACAAATAATTTCCTGAAGGCTTGTGTTGAGCTGGAGTTGATGATACAACCCAAAAAGTACAGCTTTCTCCTACTGATGTCCGTTTCTATTCTGCCAAGGGCCATTAGGCCTCTTGCTGCTGATCCTGAAATGCCTGGAAGTAGCGATTGTGCTATCCGACAAAATATATTTTGGATTTCTCAAGTTTAGAGAACTGTTTCAAAGTTAAGTACCACAATTCACAACCATACAGCAGATGCGGAAGGGCAATACTTCTCCACAGCTTAGTTGCTACCTTGGGGTTCAGGCCGCCATGCCGACACCCCATAAGGGACGGACCATTAGAAAAGTGATGGGGGGGGGGGGGCAAAACCAAAAAAA